CCCTCCTTATAAGCTGTTGCAACTTCCCTCTCTTCCTCTTCAGTTGTTGGTTTCCCCTGGGACCCAATAAACCTGGAATCACTACAGCTGGAGAGGGCTCTCTTCTTATTTCTGCTGACTGTAGCCATAAGCCAAGCCATGTCCTACCACAAAGTAGCACTGCTGTCATAGCACAGAGCGTTTGCCTTAGGTGCTGTCCTGAACCACAGAAATCGGGAGAGTGCCTCCCTACTGATAGCGGTGCTGGATAGCTAGCCGGGACGTCTGAGAAGGACAATCAATCTTTCTGCAGCTGGACCGCTTCAGTGACTCAACAGGAGTGTCTTTCATATTCCTTTTTTACCCTTACCATTTCCTAGCCTCTTGTCTTCCCCTCCTCCTGTCCCAGCCTCCACATAGATGTTTTTGTGTTTATTTTGATTTGGATTAACTGATTTCAGATTTTTGTTTGCTTTTTCTCTGTGTGTTTAAACCATCTAGTAAATAAAAGAGTGAACCTTGCCAGTGAACTTTGTAATGATGTGGCTTTTTATATTAAACTTTTGCTGGTGATTAGGTGAACTTAAAACACTCATTCACAACATTGCCCCAGGAGTGGAAACACAGCCTGCTATTTGCCATGGACTGATCTAGACTGCACTGGAAAAGGGTGAGGCTCCAAAATACTTACAGTACATTGATGACATCATCCTGTGGGGCAACACAGCAGAGGAAGCTTTTGAGAAAGGGGAGATGATAATCCAAATCCTCCTGAATGCCAGTTTTGCCATAAAACTAATTAAGGTCAAGGGACCTGCCCAGGAAGTTCAGTTTTTAGGAATAAAATGGCAATATGAATGTCATCAGATTCCAAGGGATATGGTCAACAAAATAGCAGCTATGTTCCCACTGACCAGCTAGAAGGAAACACAGGCTTTTTCTGTGTGCTGTGAGTTTTTGGAGGATGCATATTCCAGATTACAGTCAGATTGTAAATCCTCTCTATCAAGTGACATGGAAGAAGAACGATTTTAAGTGGGGTCCTGAACAACAACCTTTTGAGCAGGAGACGGTTCATGCAGTAGCCCTTGGGCCAATCAAGACAGGACAAGATGTAAAAATGTGCTTTACACTGCAGCTAGGGAGAATGGTCCTTCCTGGAGCCTCTGTCAGAAAGCACCACGGCAGACTTGAGGTCAGCCTCTAGGTTTTTGGAGCCAGGGATACAAAGGATCTATGGCCTGTTACACCCCAACTGAAAAAGAGATACTGTCAGCTTATGAGGGGCTTTGAGCTGCTTCAGAAGTGATTGTCACTGAAGCACAGCTCCTCCTGGCACCCTGACTTCCAATGCTGGCTGGATGTTCAAAGGGAAAGTCCCTTCAACACATCAGGCCACTGATGCTACATGGAATAAGTGGGTTGCACTGATCACACAGCAAGCTTGAATAGGAAACCCCAATCGCCCAGTAATATTGAAAGTCATCACGAACTGGCCTGAAGGTGAAAATTTTGGACTATCGGAGGAAGAGGAAGAGAAGGTAACACATGCTGAGGAGGCTTCACCATATAATCAGCTACCAGAAAATGAAAAGCGATACGCTCTCTTCACTGACAGTTCCTGCCGTATTGTAAGGCTCCATTGAAAACAGAAAGCTGCCATATGGAGTCCTACGTGGTGAGTTGCAGAAGTTATTGAAGGACAAGGTGGATCAAGGCAAGTTGTACCTCAAGGAGATTTGATTTTTGGGTGAGAACAGTCTGCAGTGTTGAATTGTATAATACTGGTTGCTGAATGATACTGCCACTGTATGTCATAACTACCATGGACAATGAGGATGGAGTGCTCCAGATACACCAGTCCTGATGCAGCTTTCAACCAGCCAACAGCACACCAGCTCTCCTGCCCTGGAAGACATCTAGGATGGAAAGAACCTACAGTCATGGACTAAATGAACTCAACAGACATCTTGGAGGGATGGCCATTGACTCAGGCAATGACACCTGTGATTGTGCATATATGTGTGTGTGTATATATATATATATATAGTTGGAAGGTGTAGGGGTGGATGATGTCCTGGTTCTGGCCAGGACAGGGTTAATTTTTACTGTAGCCAAGAGGGGGCATGTCTAGGACCTGGAGGCTGTTCTATACTACCTCATGTAATTTTCCAGGAATGGGAAAAGGGGTCCCTTCCAGGTCAGGGTAGTGTGGCAGAGGTCGAGTATTGTTGGGCTCCATTTAGTGTAGTGGTGAACATTTTCATGTAAATTGCTCTTATACACTTTTGGTATTAATATTGTTGCTGTTACTGTTTGTTTTCTTATCTCATTGCTATTTCTAGTAAATTGTTCTTATCTCAACCCATGTTTTTTACCTTTTGTACTTCCAGTTCTCCTCTCCATCCTGACACGGGGAGGGGAAGAGTGCGTGAGTGAGTGGCACATGGTCTGGAGTGTTTCAGTAGGAACACTAAATTGGGGAATACCATTCCTAAACCATGACAAAGGACTTAAGGCCAAATAAAATTTCTGTTACATTTTTTAATCACCTCACTTTAAAAGAGCTTTCTTTTATAGGCAAAAAAGGATTGTTGTGTTTATCCACAGTCTGCGATATATTACTCATTGCCTAATGAGTAATATAAATAGCACACAATTGGACAAACACAGTCTACATGCAATAAACAGCAATTCACAGTATTATCATGGAATATGACTATAATAAATTTTAAAGTTTTAATAAGACCAATATGGATACTTCTGTTAAATGGAAAAAACAATATTGATTTAACAAAGACCATATTCTTAAACTCTAGCTATCACATGCCAAGTTAACATCTCAACTTTCATTAACTCTATATCTTACCACAGAACAATTTTTAATATACCATATATTTGGTTACATACTAAATCTTAGGTAGTTTACACACTCTTATGCAATATAACTATATTGTGTTAAATGTTATTTATTCAAAGACCTTTGCAACAAACAAAAAGAATTCAACTGTGCTAGTGAAGTTCTGAACTTCTTTTAAGTTAAAATGTTTTAAAATGTTTGTTAATGAAAGAAGACAAATGTATGACTACCAGTAATCTGGGCCATGTAAGTTAGTTGAGCAACAGAAGAAAAAACTTGTTTCTTCTAAGCAGAAGAAAGAGATAAAAAGGAAACCTTTTTCTACACGAAATGAAAAATAAATTGATGTTTTACATATAACTGGAAACGAGTTCTAACCATTTACTTAGGAAAGGTTGGAAATGTAAACACAAACAATTAAAGAAAGTATGCTAATGATACTGTATTTTAAATAAAAATATTAAACATATTAAAATAATTAAACCATCTGTACTAGAAATAGTGCTTTATGATCAGTATTTTTCAATGAAAGATCAGAAGCTATGCTATCCAAGATTTCATCTTCAGGTATTGTTCATGCTGTTCATTCTAAGAACACATGTAGTCTACACTTTCATCTGCATTAAATAAAAACTGGCAGAATGCATGGTCTGAAGGATAAGAAGCCTTCAGAGAAAATGGAAACAGATAATGTTTCTGAGGTTCTATTTTTCTTATGGCTAAAGCAGAAGCTGGAAAGTTTTGACTGAATGTCATGGTTTGACACTGGGACAATGCCAGTGCCCCCATGAGAATACTCTCTCCCTGGTTTCTGCTGTGAGATGTGACCAGGAATAAGCAAAGCAGGCTCCCACTTAGGAAAAAAAAAATTATTAACTAAACTACAAGGGAAAGGAAAAAAAAAAAGAAACACACAAGGAAAATGAAAACTTCACAGATACATCTCCTCCTCCTCCCCACCAAATTCCCAATACAATACATCCCCCAAATCATTGACTCTCAGTCCGGCACCACGCTTCAGAATACTCAATCTTCAGTTCATCAAGAGAAGGAGTCCTTCTTGTGCCAATGGTGACCTCTTCCTTTCATGTCCAGTGCTCTCACCACTGAACACGGACCAGAGCTGCTTCTAGGGTCAACTTTTAAGGATGCTTTGTCCCACTCCAAAAAGGCACAGTCTCAACTTTGGGACATCTGTCCCCCCCATATTTTTCACCCCCTGGGGCCGAGGGGTACCCACACTGAACCCTCTTGGTCCTGAGGCATTGCCTCCCCCTAGAATGCAGTCCCTGTATCACAAGGAAACATGGCTCTGTCCATGGCTACACAAAAAGAGTCCAGCATAAGCTACTCCATCATCTCTTCCACCTGAGTTCTTCTCTATTTCTCTCGTGGCCCATTCCCTCTTATCTCATCTATATCTCTCTTCTCATTCAGCTCCAGGAGGATTAGCATTCACAAGGTTTCCATCATCCAAGGAAAGGGTTAAAAATCTGAGGCACTGTCTGTCCGGAACTCCCACGGCTGCCCTGCCGGGCACCTTCTCACACCCACCCCCCCCCCCCCCCCCCCGCTTCTCCTTCTCCGCCGGCCAAGCACAGACACCAGCTCCCTCTCTGTCTCTCCGGGGGGGGTGGCTGCCTGATGCCTCTCAGTGCTCCTCCACCCTTCCATCCTGCGGGGGCCTTCGCCTCCCTTCTGTCCAGGGCCCCAGCCTACCTCACCCAGCCGCATGGCTTCCCCTCCCCCGCCCAGCCCCCGCAGCCAGGCAGGGGAGGTTGGAACCTTTCACTGACCGGAACCCAAGAGAGCCTCCCAGGGGGAGAGCCCTGCTTTTAACCCCGTGTTCTCAGAGGCGGATCCAATGTCCCAATGGCCACATTAGGTGCCAATATTAAAATCTGAGCATCCATTGGCCTAACCCCAGCATCCCAGAAAACACATTTCCCGTCAAACCACCACACTGAATCACTGTATATATATATATATATATATATATATATATATATATGTATATATATATATATATATATATATATATATATATATCAGAAAAATGTCCCCACTTTGCTTTCTTGATAAAATAAGAAATAACAATAAAATTTTTTTACATGTGTGGAAATAATTATTTTTCAAGTCTGGGTTTTAAAGCTAAAGGTACCTGTACATTGGCAAAATCCACACGGTTGAGATCACTGAGCATCTGGTTGATCTGAGAAGTGTTCTGAAGCACAGCCCGAGCTGCCTGAGCCAGGTGATTGAGAGATGTGTATCTTCTCAAAGTCTGGGCAAAGGCACTTACAGTGGCAACCTATGAAGAAATCCATTTATCTTAACACATTGTATTATCAACCAATCTTCTGTTTTGTCTATTTTAATTCTAAAATTGCTGTATTAATTTATGAGCCCTCAGATATTGCAATTCACATATAATGGAACAAATACAGTTTTTCCTATGATTTACTTTTTGCAAAACAAAGTTATTTCCAACCCCATGGTTCATGTTTGAAGTTTAACCTAAATATGACATTTAGCATAAAAGTTAAAATGCTGCTATTTTTAAATCTTGAATGACATCTAGTGTACAATTGCAAAAAGAGAAGAAAACTGTAGTCATCTTTGTTTACCTTGCTTTGTATCATTCTCTGTGGAATATTGTTCATGGCACTGGAAAGCCAGCCTTCAAGGCTTTTTGCAAAATTGCGAATGGCCTGAGTCAAGGCACCTAAACATTAAAGAATAAAAATAAAATGAAAAAGATGGCAAGGTGCCTCTCTTGAAACCTTTTGCATCTTCAGTATTTAAATATTCCACATTGAGAACTACTGCATTTATTGGCTCAGAGACTTATCCAGTTAGGTTTGGATCCCTATCATTACAAGAAGTATGTTGATAAGCTGCAGTAAGTTCAGTAGAGGGCCACTGACATGGTCAGGGAGCTGGATCACATACCTTATGAGGAGAGGCTGAGGGAACTAGGTTTTTCAGCCTGAAATAGAGAAAGTTTAGGGGGGACCTAATAGAAGGCTTTCAATACCTACAAGGTATCAAGAACAGACTCAGCCTCTTCACAATGATGCATGGCAGGACGGTGATAAACACTGGGCATAAACTGAAAAAGAGTGATCCTGACTTGATAGGAGAAATTTTTTCACCTTGAGGACAGTTAAGCAGTGCCAATTCATGGCCCTTCATTGGACTCTCTTCAGTATGTCCGTCTCACTCTTGTACTGGGGAGACCAGAACTAAATCCAGGACTCCAGGTATACAGCACTCAAATGGTGCTGAATAAAGGGGAAGGATCGCCTACCTGGACCTACTGACAACACTTTGTCTAATACAGCCCAGGATACCACTAGCCCTCTTTGCAGCAAGGGCACTCTACTGGCTAATGTTCAACTTGGTGTCCACCAGGACCCACTGGTCCTTTTCTGCAAAGCTGCTTTTCAGTTGGTTGGCCCCCTTGGCATGTACTGGCACGTGGGATTGTTCCTCCCCAGGGGCAGGACTTGGCACTTCCCCTTGTTGAACTGTATGAGGTTCCTATCAGCCCATTTCTCCATCCTGTTGAGGTCCCTCTGGATAGCAGCACAACCTTGTGATGCATCAGCCACTCTTCAGTTTATTCAGCATAAACAGAACAAGACGATAGGGGATAAAAGCATCATATAGTCAACCTAGGACAGTCATCAACAAACTTGCTGAGGGTATGCTCTGCCCCATCATCCAGATCACCAATAAAGACATTGAACAGTGTTGGACCCAGTACTGACCTCTGAGGTACACTGCTATTTACTGGACTCCAACTAGACTTTGTGCAACTATAACTATGGGATTCTCTGGAGTGCTGCAATGGATAAATACAGAATCTTTAGGGGAAACAAGACAAAAAGGTGCTATATATGAAAGAGGAGCTGCAATGCATAGAGCTTTGCCGAGGGATGGATGATAAGCCAGTTCAGAGCTTAAGGGTCCAGGTTAGATTACATAACAACATGGGTGATGTTGTGGGTATCTGATACAGCCTACCTCATAAGGAAAAAGTACATGAAGTCTTGTGGTGGCTTGACCTTGTCTGACTGCCAGGTGCTCACCAAGCTGCTCTATCACTCTCCCTTTTCAACAGAACAGTGGAGAAAAATACAAAGAAATGCTCATGGGTCAAGATAAGGACAGGGAGATCACTCAGCAATTGCCGACACAGGCAAAACAGACTCAACTTGGGGAAATAAATTTAATTTATTGCAAATCAGAGTTGGAGAGAGATATAAGAACAAATCTAAAAAAAAACTTCCTCCAACCCTCCCTTCTTTCCAGGAACAACTTAACTCCCAACTCTTCTACCTCCCAAGTGGCCCAGGGCAACAAGAAATGGGGATTGCACTCAGTTCATAACACTGTCTCTGCCTCTCCTTCCTCCTCACGCTCTTTGCCTGCTCCAGTATGGGGTCTCACCCATGGGAGACAGTCCTTCGCAACCTTCTTGAACATGGATCCTTCCCATAGGCTGCAGTTCTTCACAAACTGCTCCAGCATAGGTCTTTTCTATGGGGTGAAGTCCTACAAAAACAGACTGTTCCAGAATTTGTCTCCTCACAAGGTCACAGGTTTGTAAGAGATGGTCTGAAGTTTCCCTCTTTTGCCTCACAACCATTGCAAGGACAGACACCGGGACCCTGAAGACCCTGACTGGAGTTCTGGCCTGGTTGAGGTGGATGCTCGCCAAGTGATTGTTCGTAGCTGTGTCTATAGTGCCACCATGGTATACTGCTTTCTAGCAGGGCCTGGCAAAGGAGCAACTCGCCCTATATGCTTGCACCTGCTTCATGACAGTAGCCCATGAATTTCCCCACCTCTTGGCCAAATGAACTTTCTGGGGTAACTTTGGTGGTCCCCCATGGAAAATCCTTCATCTGTTTCACGACCACCGTGGCAAACAGAGATTGAAGCTCCCTCCCAAGGACTGAGACTGAGACCCTAATAATTCTGACACAGGGGCGCTGGCCTGACTGAAGCGGGATGTCTGCCAAGTGTTACCTGCAGATGTGGTCGCTGGACCAAGAAAACAATGGCTCCTGCTCACTGCTGAGATTGACTTATCCTGTTTCAGAACGTGGACTGTCTGTACCCATTTTCAATAGACTTATTCTTCATTGTCTTTTACCTGTTCCCCCCTCGACGGAGGACTATAATAGACCCCTGAGTTAACCAAGACCTCGAGATTCTCCCCGACGTGACAAGGCGGATCTATTGGCTGGTCTACAAGGATTTTGTCTCTACGTCTGGTAGCTATACCCCTTTCCCCTCTTTCTCTCTCTCTCTCTATCCTTTATCTCTTTTCTAATCCCTCTATCGCATTTGCTGGGGGCACTCAATAAAAGGTGCATTTGTTTTGATTAACACTGAAATCCCCTTTGTGTTGTTTTTTGCACTCTGAGATCAGTTAACGAACCATCACGACCCCTGCTTATACAAGTGGATCGTGACAAGGTTCCAGCAAAAAACCTGCTCTGGCATGAGCTCCTCTCCATGGGACCACTGCTCGTGACAGGACCCTGCTCTAGCATGGGCTCTCTATGGGCTGCAGCTTCCTTTGGGGTACGCCCACCTGCTCTCGTGTGGGATCCTCCATGGGCTGCAGGATGACAATGTGCTTCACCATGGTCTTCCCCATGGGCTGCAGAGAAATCTCTATTCCAGCAACAGGAGCACATTCTCCCCTTCTTCACTGACCTTCATGTCTGCAGAGTTGTTTCTCTCACATATTCTCACTCCTCTCTCCTGGCTGCTGCTGTGACCCATTTTTTTTACTCTTTTTAATATGTTACCACAGAGATATTACTAATGTCTCTGGTTTAGGCTTTGGCCAGCAGCAGGTCCATCTTGGAGCCAGCTGAAAGTGTCCCTTTCTGACATGGGAACAGCTTATGGTATCTTCTCATAGAAGACATCTGTGCACCCCCCACCTCTACCAAAAGCTTGCCATGTAAAGCCAATACAGGTCTCCTTCAGGTACCTGGAATAAGTTTCATGTTTACAGGCTCCAGTTTTGATGAGGGACTTGAACAGCAGAGCTGTCCCTATCTGCTAGAGGGACAACAAAGCAGAGCAAAAGCAACCCAAGAAGACAGTTGAACAGTGCAACTGGTCACCCAGAGAGCTTTGTGTAGCTTCCATCCTTAGATGTTTTCAAGACCTGACAGGGTAAAGCCCTGAACAAACAAGTCTGAATTCAGCATTGACCATGCTTTGAGCAGGAGGTTGGACTAGAGACCTCCTGAGGTACCTTCCAACCTGAATTATTATTTGATTCTATATTATGTAATAATTATTTAGTTTCTGATTTAACAAACAGAACTGACCATTTCACCTAAGACCCCTTCAAAAAACTTATGATCAGCAGTGAAAATTCTTTTTGGCATTCCTACAGGTACATCAGTAATTGTAACAACTGTTTCCTATCTTCTGAAAACTTTCATAATGAATTTTCTGCCATAAATTGTTTGCCTTCAGTGCTTTTGCTTTTAAAGAGCAAAACTCCACAGGACACAGCAATTATTGCACTAGTTCAGTTTCCTCAAGTAAGCTTGAAGTACCCTGAACCATTGCCAACATGTTTTTCTTTTAGTTCTGAAGAACAAAATGCAATGTGCAATGTTCAATGACAGTATCAATAAGGAATATATACGAATGTATTAAACAAACAAGGTAGGATTGCTCATACTGGTATGAAAATTTGGTGGTGGAGAATGAATGCTGCTAGAGTAATAAAGAAGAAAAAAACAAACAGAAAAGGGAAATATTACTATCTATAAGTGATTTTGTTTTTATTACATCTAAGAAGAAACAGTGGAAATAAACAGTGAATTTTGTTTATGAGGCAAAAGAGCACTTTTGGTAGAGTAAGAATTAATTGCTCATGGAAGTCACCTAATATGAGAAATGTCCTTTTTCAGTTTGAGTAATTGATGAATCCTGTAAATAAAAACTTCTAGTAAAGTTAGCCAATTTGCTTTAAAAAGAAAGAAATATTTTATATTTTAAAGCATTATTTTCTTCAAATTTATAGTGATAACTGGTTTGGGTAACTGTCCCCAAATGTGAAAGCTCATATGAAATTTAATTTGGACTTATAAAACTTCTGAATTAGCTCTATGGAATGGGCTTTTTCTTTTTTCTTTCTTGAGGTTTCCAGGCAAAGAGCAAACACTCTGTTTCACTGTCAATCATTTAACCCACATGTTTCTACATTAACATTTTTGTATGCACTTGCTAATTAACAAAGCATTCACGCATGTTTATTTATTACCTGCAGAACAAAAAAAAAAAAGCTCATTCAGATAGCTTGCAAAGTGTTACTAAAGACACATTAAATGATACAGCAAAAAAAGTTAAAAGGAAAACATGTATTTTTGTATAAGCCTTCAAAAGCTTGTGTTTCTCATCTGAAATATTTCTTCTACATAAATAACAAGATTTTGCATTCTTTCTGGTATTTGTAATTGCTGAAATTGACAGATACAACATGAAAAATATCTTGAACATAACTTCTCTGTCTGGAAGAGGAACTCCCAAACAAGTTTGGTGCTATCCATCCTGTCACTTGTGAAGAGATAATAAGGCCATTCTCAGGGGAAAGGATCTATTGCCATTGTGGCTCTGGTCTTTTGCTAGAATCATAAGATAATAAATTTTACTCCTGACTGAAGTATAAAATGTTTGAAC